CTTGTCCCGTCCAGCCACGGAACATTAAAACAATAAATGACGAGATTTATCTCCGATAATGCGACTCATTAATCTCGTTCGAGTAATGGATCGTAGGAAGTCGTGTAACGCCTCTTGCAGCACTCCTAGAACCCGTGAGCGCACCTTCGTCAACGGCGCCGCCGCAACAGCAGACCCACTGCTAGCGCATCAACTGGTTCATTAAACAGCCCGTTGGGAACTTCTCGTAGCACTTCCGAGCGACGGTAAAGGATAAGCTTCTTAGCAGGTCTTAAACGACAGCCCTTAGAGTAGCACTGCCACAAGACCGGGAAAAACCATATTTCTAAAGAAAGTTGCCATTTTCTAAAGAAGTTTCGCGCTCGCCCGGGAGAGGATTGGGACTACGCTTTTGACTCTCGGATAACCTATGACCTATAACCCTAGGCCTTCGGGTTTGAGGTGATGGTCGCCCGAAGGGCGACCTGAGTCGGGTTTCGGGTTGACGGGGGTTACGGTCAGTTATGGTTATGGTCACTAGGTCTTTTTTTCTTCAGTTTTTCTCCTTCTTTAGATTTTCGCCCTCTCGCTTAGATTTTCGCCCTCTCGCTTAGATTTTCACCTTCTACCAGACTCAGGTACTGTACTTCTGTGTATGAAAGTCGCGGGCCTCTTGCACCTCTGCGGCGCCTCACTACACATCGCCTCCGCCGTTCTAATCCCGAAGTGCCCAGCACTCGGCTTGTACGGGAGTCAAGACCAGATAACGAGCGCTGGCTTGTTGAAGAGCTTCGAGGTGAACTATTTGTACGAAGTTCGTGGCGCTGGTTGCCAAGCTGATTTGGTCTATAGCGAGGGCGCCTTCACAGTGGAGGTCAGTAACGTCCTGTTGGAGTCCCAGAAAGGCGGTAAGGTTTTCAGCAAGATTCGGCGAACTCATTCGGAGCAGCCAGTGCCACATGCTCCCAGGACAACAACCAGACAGCACGATTGCAAATAAACTCAGACGCTTGAGACTGTCTCGCACCGCTATATGCAATCTGGGCAACGATGCCCTGGTGGCATTTTTTGGTGCCTCGCTCAACAGGAATGGTGTACCAGTAAACTTGTACTCACCGGTGCCTCTCGTGAAGGTCCAAGATCGGACCGCGCATCCGATTCACAACAAGTCTAGCGAGGAGGCGACTGCGGACGACCAGCTCATGGCACGCGCCAGAGGGGATCCATCTGGCACCCTCCCGCTGTACGCCGGTTCGACAGGAGGTCCCGTTTCTCATGAAATTCATCTTGTCAACACTCATGACGTAACCTTCGTCGACCAAGCCATAGTTGATATTGTTGGTACGTTTTACGATTCCTCCGGCGAAGTTAACTTGTTCAAGTGGGCTGGTGCTGGTGACACACCACAGGCCTCCCAGTTCTTGAAGTCGTATCCTGCTGCCAACGCGTCCTTGCTCGAACTCCGGATACCTCTCGCTCGTCTCCGTGCTCAACGAGGTCATGACGACGTCTGTTTCAGAGTTCCTCCGAGTAACATCTGGCTCGGTGAAAATTCAGTAGCCGAGGACATTGAACGAGCTGGGCAAGTGTTCGGAATAGATGGGTTGAACTTGGCTAATGTCGTCGTATACCTGAGGGTGGGGCACGGGTTCCGAGCTTAGGCTTGGGAGCATTCGGGACTCGACTGGCGAAGCTAAGCCAACCATTACTATTCCTCTCATGAGGGCTCCGAACCTGAGTGGATCGGAGAGGTGCACAGCTTGTTCTGGCGGTACCGCCTCGGGTGAAGGCACGCAATCGCCACGCAGAAGAGTTCTTTCTGCTGAGGAGGTTGCACAAGACAATATGAGGCCTCCGAAGAAAAGACGCTGGCGTGTGAATGTCAACCAAGATGAATCTGGTCGGGACGCTCCCTAACGAACGTCCAGTGGGGCGGTATTTCTCGTTTGTAATTCTCACGATTAATCAATGCTGTCCTCTACTTACGCTTCATAACCTCGGTAGTTCTCATGTTAGCATGATGTCACCCTAAGCTGTCTAGGCCTCCAATCTTTGTTATTCACAGTAGTATCAATGATCGCTAGCGCCTCTGGCGATCCGAGCCACTAGGCTAGCAACGTTGTTGGAATTGAGGGACTCTCCTGGGAGGAAGAGGTAATACCTCTTCGATACTGAGCCTCAGCAGCTCAGGTTCACAGGCCTCGTTGTATCGTGTCAAATGACTGAGCCAGACTACGGGCTGAGCCCGTCGGGCTCTCGTGGCCTAGCTGTTTACCCTGCTCAAGATTGTTGCATGGGATGAGCTCAGTTGATCCAATTAACTGGATGATCCAGTATCTGGAAATACGGTGTATGATGCACTGTGTGTCTCTGCTCCAGCGTGCCAGTGCTGTCCAGGAGTATATCGCAATGCGATCGATGTCACTCACATCACGGTGAATGCAGATACGCCACAATTCAGGACTCTCTCATGAGAAGACCCTCAAATCGAGGCCCTCAATGCTACTCGGGATCCTCCGTGTGCACGCTCGTCTCTTTGGCGAACGGGTTGCCCGTAGTGCCAACAAAGTTGCGGAGACTTGTCGGTGGCGCTCATCCCAGTCCACCACTGGGGTCAATAATCTGCTGCCGGACAGCGACTGATGTTATTCTCTCTGTACCACTTGGCTTTGGCATTGAATTTCCGATGGCGCCGCAGCATCAGCGTTGAGTTATCGATCAATCAATCACGGTCACTACTAGCGAACTTCGCTAGCCTTGAGTTGCGGATGACTGCTGGTGATGAGCATATCAAATCTTCCCAGATTTTCTGAGTTGAATCTAGCAGCGTTTATTCCTGCTCTGCTGGTTGTGAAAGCATGGACCGCTCACTGTGGGCGGCTTCGCAGTATCGAGTTCTGTCGAGGAATTCCAGCTCATTGGTGGACATATTGGGCTCTGCTCGACTGGCATTCAGATGTGCGCGGTAGAGAATAAGGGCATTTCGAGCGAAATACTGCCCACGACCCAGCATTTAAATGCCTCGTGGAATGTTCGTTAGATCGTCTGGGGGCGTCTACGGCCTAGGTAAGGCTTCTCGGGTGGCTACAATAGGCTCCCAACGTTTCTGCCAATGATACCCGTAAGGTCATCGAGTTCTCAGAGGTTAAGCCATCGTAGTGGTTCAGGGATTTCTCGAGTTGAAGCCTGCAATGGCCGGGCCGTCTCCCAACCCCACATCAGCGGACGCTGTTGACGTGACCACCAGTTGGTCCCCTAGGCAGCTACTGGTCGCCCGTCTCTGCCGCGTGACATCTTATTTCGGTGATAGCGGCCCGTCTTTCCCTCGGGAGGTTTGGGACTTCCTGCCTACGATAGCCCCCAACTGCTGCAAAGAGATCGCTAATATGAGGCCTCACGTATTCAGGATGAAGCCGATACCATCCTTCGGCACTGAGGAAGGTATTTTCCTATGCCGCAAGAGAAAGACTGCATGGGGCAATAGATACTTCGAAGTGAAATTCCTCAGTGTGCCGAGATGCAAAGAATCGACGCTGCGCGATATCACCGAGTTCGTGAGGGCATTAGGCGGGGTCCTGAACAACGGCACTCCGACACAGACCAACCAGCCAGGGGCAGCCGGGACGACGGCATCGGCTCCAACAGCCGTAGTGGGAGAAGAAGAGGATGGTGACGGGGAGGAGGAATACGAGTCTGATGAGGACACTGAGATGACCGACTACGACGAAAGCGATGGCATCCACGGTTGGTCAGACTCCGACTTCGACTCCGAGTATTCCTGGGGGCGATCCACTGAGTCCCGCGAGCGCCGTGCGGAGTGGGTGGATATGATATGTTGCTGCGAAGGCTCCTACAAGTTGGGCTTCGTTGTCGGTCGGGATGACCTGTACTTCACCGTCGAGGAGGATCCGAACCACTTGCACTACAGGAAGCTCTCTGGTGGTGTATTCGTGAACAGGGATCTCAAGTTACCCGAAACGATAGAGGAAATATCATTTGCCGATGGTCATCTGTTCGTCGTTGGTGCTTCGCGGCGGTTGTACATGCTGAAAAGTGACAGATCGGGATGGGTGGGGTCGATTGCTCTGCCAGGTAAATGGTGTCCTTATAATTCACACAGGTTCCACGACGCTGTGGTCGATCATGACAAGGTTACTAAGGTCCTCTATATCCATCAGGGGGAGTCTTTGAGGGACTCGATGGCTCTCTGCGTGTGGGAGAATGGGCGAGAAACATTACGCGTCGAGAAGGTCGAAGTGTGCGCAGCTCGGTTCTTGCCTTGGACAGGCCAGCAGGTGGTTGCCGGTATCTTTGAACGCAACAGAATGGACACGAACCACATTGAGACCTTCGGAGTGATGGATATGGTCACCGGCGACTTCCTCACCGAGGCGAACTCTAAGAAAGATGACTTCCTCTTGAACTATCCTGGGGGTGAGGTCAAGTCTTTCTCTATTAATCGTGGGAGCTGGGAAGCAGTTATGATCGGTTATGACCAAAAGGTCGGTTACGAGACAGTCGATTTTCCAAGTCGCTACGTATGGAAGGTCGGGTGTGGCACGGCAGCTCAAAACGAGAGTTCACTGTGAGGCAAGATTGTCATTTGGTTGCCTTTTAATTCATCAGTCACCAGTCAGTCAATCACTTCTTAATCCGATTTCAATAAATGGTTGATAGTTGTTGCGCTATTAAGTTGGTTTGACTGAATCAAAGCACGTGATGTAGCTCGCCGCAGCGGATAGTCCGCTGGACCTTAGCTGCAGTACGGCAACGGTCCTCGATGGCTTCGATGTGGCAGTGCTTGTTGCTTGTGAATTCTCGAGGCGGTTATAATCTCCGCAGAGGCCAGCTTCAATATGCCTCAATTCCGACCATGTCGCCACTGAGTAGCCGTTCCTCCCAGCCTCGGGGGTTCGACTTTTGTTCCTAGCGCGTTTCTTCCTAGCACCTTCATCCCGTGAGTTCTCCAGTTCCTTCGAATCAGAGCCGGGCAGGCCATCGCTCGCATCAATTTGGGTATCGTCAGTTTGGCCGAGCGGTCAAGGGCGCTTGCTTCAGGCGCTAGCCCGAAAGGGCGAGAGTTCGAATGCTGCAGCTGATACTTACCTCTTTGTCTATGAAGAGTAGTCACTATTTTTGTCACATGCTTGTGCAATAGTCACTACCCGGATTTGAACCGGAGTTGTCACGGCCACACCGTGACGTCGTAATCACTAGACGATAGCGACACACAAAATGGGATCGTATCTCAACGCAGGAGTTTCCTCGGCGGGCATTAGGCATCGGATATTAGGGCATTCGGGTGGCGAATTTTGAATTTTCAAGTGTTCAAGTGTTGAAAATCACGGCTCGGACGCGTACCTAAAAGTGCGCATTCCTCTGCAGATGAATTGTCTCCGCGGAGCTTCACAGGGCGGTGTAGAGAAGGCCCTACCGACATTTCGGTGGGTTCGGATCTGCGACATCAACAACTTGGTTTCTCTAGAAGAGGTCTGCTCTGATTACACAGCTTCGCGGAATGTGGAAGTTCCACAGTGGAACCCTCATGTCGAACGGTGGGGCCAAAATCATCTCCTTCCAAAATTCGTGTATTGAATACTCTGAGCTGCTTGAGAGACGAGGATGAGACAGGGTCGGCGAGAGCCTGCTCGCTCAAGCGTGTACTGTATGACCGTCGGAATACAATGGCCTGACCCAGGCTTCCCTCTTCCTGGTATTGCATCACAGAACAGTGAGAGATAACAAGTGGCGGAACAGCCTCGTAGCCGTTTCGGCCCGAAAACTGTTACCGAAACTAGGTACCCGAAACTTTCGGGTACCTAGCTCGCCCGCAGCAAAGAACAAACCCTCATTATACAGGACCTCTATGCTTCCCAAACCGCAACCAATGGATATACACTCCGCTAAAGTAAACATATTGCATTACAATCCTATCAGCATCAATACCATAGTGATACTGAACCAGCATGGCTGATGATCCCCTTTTTTCACTACAAACTGCGGCACGCAACAAGCTGAGAACTCCATACACCAACAACAACACTTCCATGCCGATGACCAAGTAGCTAGCGCTCACGATTTGTGGCTCATCCATCAAACAGGCGTGGCGACTCACAGACAGGCCCAACAACATGCCGGGCGTTACTGAGTAACGGTTACTCTATCAACCTAAGGCTTTGTGAGCCTCACATCCTAAGCCCTCGGTGTTCGAACCTTGGAGGTTGCTTAGTTTGTGCAAGCAGGGCATGAAACACGATACACATATCCGCAAATGTGCCGAATTCCTGCCTCATTGCCTCCTTCGCGCTCAAACAACGTTCTTCCGGACCCTCAAGAGGTGCCGCGTGAGGAGGTGGCTGAAAAACGAAAAACAAATATTAATCACTAACATATCGTACTATTCTTAGCAGGCAACTCCCGGGGACGATAGCGATCCCAGGCCAGTCTCACGCTACTTGGGTGGAGCTATGTCCGACTGGGTCAAGTAAGGGAGGCTTCCGTTGACCATATATCTCGTATTTAGCAGCTTTCTCGTGCACCTTCCACCATTGCGGATGGCCAGACGGATAGAACTTGTACAGCCTTCCTTCCCAACTGAAATTAGTAATAGGATATGCAAACAGTGTGCATGTCTTTGGGTCTCCTACGAGGACTTACAATGCCATACTGAATGTTCTGTGTTCAGGGGTCTCCGGACATGTGATGAAATCGGTCCACAGGTAATACTCAAATGATAGCGGCTCAAACGATACCATGAATGCTTTTCTAGCGGCAGTAACGTCCCCGTTGGTGAAGCGACAACTCGTGGTGCCCGCCTCTCGGAGTTTCGGGAAGTCCTGAAAATAGCGAAGGATGAGAAGAGGTTCTCCAATTTCCTCGAAGATGGTCCAGACAGTCTGGGTCACACTCAGCAATTCAGAACTTCTGTGTCAGAAGATTTTCGAGGAGTGTCGGGAGGTAACCCTGAAGGTATCCCGGGCTGGCCGTGTGCCTACGTTCGCACGCCCGGCACTCTGGCGTGATGGCGGACGGATCAGGGCTCTTCATCCGACCCGTTACCCTGAGTCGGAGCGCAGGACCCGAGCCCTGTCTATGTGCGCAATCTCCGCCCCTATTGCTTAGTGCCCACAGTCAAGAGGTGTCATTAGTAGTGAATCATTACATCGGAAGGTCCCGCTGCGCCAACTGCAAGGCCAGCAAGTAGGCTACACACTATCGCCATTGCGACAGCTGGAACAGGGATTATCTGCATGGTGGACACTCAAAATTGAGCCCGGAAACTGAACGGGGATGATTGTTAAACAGGACGATCTAGACATTCGAATGTACGTGACACACAGTACGTCAGAAGCGCTTTTTCGGAGTAGGGAAGAGTCCGCTTCCGATGCTCGATCCATGGAAATCCAATGCCGCTCGAAGAAGAGCTACTAAGAACCCTTGTTCAATACACAAGGCCCACACCAGTGCCATTCTGCGATCGTTACGATGCTTTTTCAAACAGAATTTGGCGAATACCCTTAACGAAATAGTTAACCCTCAACGAGAAGTTTATCTCAAATAAAAATACAACAATTGAATATACGACGAGTCAATGGGAATCATTAACTTGGCGCCTCTCCGTGTGATTTCGTCATCGACACGACGCACCATTCCGCTACAGCCCCTCTGGTCTGCAAGGTGCAGTGTCCTGCTAGAGCCGTGTACGTCGACGGGAAGACCTCACGATGACGCCGCAGGCGACTCGATGGGAAACTATACCGAAGCCGAAATCGGTCAATTCTCATCTGCATTCGGGGTTCGGCATGCACAAATTACCTTTCGGGAACCTCGTCGCGAGATTGGACGAGTATCGGTCGTCTCCCGGTGGGTTCCAAAATCCGATCGATTACGTAAAACGCATCGCCACTTCGATATTCAATCTTAACTGCGTTTTCTCGTTCATCCCTTATTTGAAATACGATATCGATAGTCACCATACCATCTGATGGTATGGCGGAGTGAGAATGACTACCGTAGTGCCCGATATCGGAGTGCCGGATCATCCGGCCCGGATGTCAGTCTACAGTAAACGAACTGTGGCTGGTAGACTACTAGTAGTAGTCACTCGCGCACCGTGTCAATGCTTCACATCATTCGCAGCCGATCTCAAAACCACTGAAGGAGTTCCTTCATCCCCCAGATGAATGAGATGCTGGCCCCGACAAGCTCACCCAGTAGTGAGTAACTACTGCACAAACACTGACAAAGAGCTCCATACAGTAACAGCAACATCTTCATGCTCATCATCAACTCACCACCGCTAAAGACTAGCAACTCGCCCCACGAACAGGTACGTTAATAACTTATCGAGAGAATCAACAGCGTGAACGCCATCAGAAAATGCGGTAATAACTTATACACACAGAATTAACAATTCACATAGCATCTCCTACCTTACTAGCCAACTTCATCGAGACCCTGCGGTGTCGGGGGCCTCTGGGCGCGTTTAAGCAAACGGTAAAAATCGACACACATCGCCGCGAATGTGCCAAACTCCTTCTTCAGGGAAGCCATCGCGCTCAGACAAAATTCTTTCGGATCATCGGTGGTCTTCGCGTGGGGAGGCGGCTGAAGGGAGGAGGAGAAGAACAACTACGGGCTCCCGTGCTAGAACCTTGGGAAGGATTGATTGGAGTTCTGAGCCACCCCGGTCTTACGTAATGCGAACAATGCCCGACAGGATCATGCAGATAAGTTCTATCCCTGCCATATATCGTAGGTTCAGGCTGAGCATCTTTCCCATACGCCTTCCACCATAGAGGATGACCATGGGCGTAATACTTGTATAATCCTCCTCCAAGACTGAGATCAAGAATAGGATGCACCCGTAGCGCGGAAGGAGCGAGTGCTATTGATGAACCCATGCCATGCGATCCACACCCACAGTGCCTTACAATTCGATGTTGAATGCGTCATGCGCGTCGTTCTTCGGGCAAGTGATGAAGTCGGTCCACAGCCGATTCTTAACCGAAATATCCTCCTTAATCGATACCATCAATGCTTTTCTGCTGGAGCTAACATCCTTATTGGTGAAACGACACCACGTGGTGTTCCACTCCCTAAGCTCTGGGAAGTCCTGAAAGTCGCGACGCATGACAGTCGCGCTCAAAGGAAGCCGACGAGAAAGTCGACCAGTTCCACGGAGTACACCCGAGAAGGCGAGCAACCTTTCCTGGACCATTTTTCATGTCTCTGTACTATCAGAGAAGTTTCTTACGCAACTTACGACGTGAATCTTACGTCGTCAGACTTCGTCCCACCGATGGCAACACCGGTAGGTAGATTGGATACCATTGCCACGACAGCAGCTGTTGCGACGATGATCTGTTTGGTAGACATTCAGATGGAGTCTGAAGACTGGATGAATATGATAGGACGGATGCTCGAGATGTTGTCATCACAAGGCCTCCTTAAACCACTTGCAAAACTTCACTCGAAGGTTCTGAGTTAGAACAGGTTGCGTTCTCACTCCGAGCGCCGACCGCAACCAGTCAACCACGAGCAAGCCGCATTGCCATAAGCGACTCTAGATTCGCGACTGAGAACCTCAATTTGAGGCGATGGGTGCCCGAGCCGTTTCGCTACAGAAGGAAGCGATCACTGTATTGGTCGATTCTACGGGAAAACAAAAACCGCTCGAAAAGTTATCCGCAAGTTGGCTGCGCCAACCGAGGCGAGCGAGATGGCTCACCGTTGTAAGCTTATCAAGAGTGGCTTCCGAAGTCCTTCGACTAACATCTCGATCGATCATTTAATGTCAATTTCCCAGAGTTATGTGGGACTTCTTGATATCCTAATCCTCAGCGACCGCCAGACGTTCAATACATTACTTATTTAAGGACCTGTAGCGAGGCTCTCCCTCGAGCAAGGGGAACTATACGCTCAGGACGTTCTACTCTTCATGAAACGGATGACTTCAGTGCTATGCCCGTCCCCACGGGCGGGAGTACTCCATCAGTTGAGCACTTTCGATGCTTATCATCTTTATTTCTTTACTTCAACTATGATCTCAATGCCTCGCTCTGTATGAAGTTACTCTTCGTCCGTATGGCTAAATGCTAT